GATAGGACAGCCCTTGACATTGCGGAGCCGTTACAGATAGGCGCAAGAGGGACTCCTAAGATCGCCCATGTGGATCGCTTGGCGCGTTATTATGGGGCCGATAATGCTCGGGACGAGCATGTCTTAGGAGGGGGCAGTGTTACGCGCTCAAGTCGACGACACACTAGCGCCATCTAGTGTCAGGAACGAGAGCGAGGGGAGCTTTGCAGAAAATTACATCACAAATCTCTCAACCGACAGCGCCATCCGAAGAACTAAGTTTCTAGAAAATCTACACTCGCACACTCGTCCCTTTGCGCGCATTTACTTGAATATTCCGGATGCTTCTTTGCTAATTTAAATAAATAGGCGCTGCAAGATGCGATCGAGGTAGTATTGGATTTGGCGAAACAAGCGAAGCTTCGGAGCGGAATAAAGTGAATTAGTGTGTTTAATTATTAGTGTTTTAAGTTTTAATTTATGTAAAGTAAGTTAAAGTGTTAATTTAGGTAATTTTATCGGCAATTTTTATTGTCACGAACCTCAAGCTCGTAACAGTACTTACGATTTAAATTAAGTTTGTATCAATTTATCTACTTCCGTACTACGTACTGAATAAAAATGATTCTATTCTATTCTAAATCCTTTTTCTGTAACCCTACGCTTAATTATAATCTATATTTTAAAGCTTTTTCATGTTACATCACTACATTTTAATTAATCGAACACACGCCTCATAACGCAAAGCGGTTGAGGTATTGCTTTACTCCAAACGCATCATCAAGGTCAAGCAATTCTGTGTTTTTAAAATGCCCCTATCATAACCATTTTGCACTTATACGATAATATGAAGAGCTGTATATTAAGAAAACACTACTTAGTCCATGTAATATTTTCTAAAAAAAAATTATTTTACTACTTTGTAAATAAAAACGATTTGAAAAAAAATATGTGGACGTCCGGACATCCGTACGGTGATTTTGTTTTTCTTTTTGTTGGTCTTGAAACTCCCGAAAAAATTGATGTATCGAGACCGGTTTTTTTTATTAGCTTCATATATCAACTGGTTCCCTATTTCATATCAAAAGTCTACTACTCGTAGTTTGACAATAAAATGATTTTTATAGTTTTATAAAAGTAAAGTAAAGTTACAGCCTATATACGTCCCACAGCTGGGCTCAGGCCTCCCCTCATTTCTGATAGGGTTTAGGGCAAAGAATTGTCCGCCGCGCTGCCCAAATGCGTGTTGGCGAACTTCACATGTCTTCGAAATATTTTTTTTTCTTATTCCTCAGACATGCAGGTTTCCTCACGATGTTTTCCTTCACCGCCGAGCACGTGGTAAATCAGCACTTAAAATTGCAATTAACAATTTCATTGGTGCCGGCGGGGATCAAACCCGGGTTACTCGCATTCTGTTATATTTACAGCAAGCGTTAACCATCTGAACTACCACGGCTCTATAGTTTTATAAATTTACCTTAATTTCCATTTGATCTTTTAGCACTTGATAGACAAAGGTCAAATGTAACATATAGCATAATATCGATTTAATACTTTGTGTAATCGATTTATTTTGGTAATTTGTTTTTTCATCAAACTTAAATGACACGCTCGTGAGGCGTGCACTTTTGGGTTTTCCAAATTTCTTAGTATTCAATGGTGACCACGCATAGCATTTATTTGTTTTAAGTTGACTGCATGTGTTCAAGGAATGCAGCAGCTTCTTAACATCGCATGATAGTAAGTGCTTTTGCCACTGGAGTATTATAAAAAAAAAACTGTTTACGATTACACTGTTTTACGTTAACATTCACGCATAAAGCCACAGCGAAATGTTACAAACAATAACTATTAAAACAAAGCACGTATTATACAACTATAAATCTCAATATCTGTCTGTGCATATTCAGTGCAGCTGCGCTATTTACAAATAGAAAGTTTTACTATTATCCACGTGTACCGTTGAAACGTGCTTTTATAACCGTAACAGCCGGTTCACACTAGTCGTAAGTCGCATATGACTAAAAGTCGAATGCTCTGGTCACCATACACTTTATATGGAGCTGTTCACATTGGATGAGACGCGATTTTTAGTCTAATACGACTCAAAAAACCATCCGACGGGCCAGCGCCCGTTGTAAGACTAAAAATCGCGTCGAATCGTGCTCGCATAGGTAAAGTTGGGCGTTATAATATACAACAGATAATATATTTCATTATATATTTGTAATCTTACAACACATTAGAATAATGAACCATTGACTGTTATAATATATTCATTATCGTTAGAAAACGTCATCTGTTTACGTTTACGGCCCAGCTGTCGGCCGAGACGCGGCAACTCAATGGGAGTCAATAAAATACTACATTCATTATGTCACAAAGATTGCGTATAGCTTACACTAATTTAAACTCTAAGCTAACTTAATAAGAGCTTATTTTACTAACACTAAATTATAACAGTAAACAAAAATATATTATTTCTTTCATTGTTAGCTGTTGCCTGTTGTGCCTGTTATTTAATTTTTTAGCTGTTGTAATATATTAGTGTTCAGTTAGCTGTCTAGCTGAGATGACAATGACACTGTTATCTGTTAAATTATATACGTAATGTTTTGATAGCAGGTTCCCAAATTACGTGAAAAAGCTATTGTTGTTTTTGTTTATTTTTCGTTAAGTTTTATTCCTAAAGTAATTTTAAATATTTAGTGTAATATAAATAGGATTTAGGGTGTTGTATGTAAATAATGTCGCGTCAGTGTAGCGCAGCTATTTGGAACTATATTAAGTCTAAGTCCAAATGTGGCGAAAAAAAGCAGTGTGCAATTAAAAAAAAACTATCTTTCAAAAGTACAATTACAAATTTAAAGCTTCACCTTAAGCAAAGACACGTAGTAGTGTATGAAGAGTTTTGCCGTTAGGATTTAATATCGGATAGACTCAGAAGGCTTACGTCGTCAAAAGTAAACCAAATAATGTTTTTGAATAGTAACTGAAAAAATGTAAATAATTGTAGGTAACTAAAACTTTGACCACAGTGTAAATAATGTAAAAATTCAATCAAAAATAACATCAATAACCTTTTAACTATGCCTGAATGAGTTATTTTTCTTAAAATGTTTGAAAATATGAGTAAATAATTATAACACATACAATAATTACACAGCTTAACATACATTCAGACAGTCCTAAGCCTGTAAAAAGTAGGAAGGGAAGTTCATTAAACTTAACATACATATTTTAAATAATTCTCTTTTAAAACATGAAACACTCAAATGATGCTAATAAGTTGTATTAAGTTGTAAAAATATTTTTTTTGTCTTCATATAATTAATATCGTTTAATATTTATAATATTTATAATCGTAATAATCTTTCGTCATAATTTTTATAACCGTTATAACAACATACAACAAAATGCTAACACAGCCAACAACTGAACTGAACTAACCGCGTGTACAATGTAATATTTGAAACTGTTATAATATATTATAACCGTTTAAAACAACAGTTAGAAAAATATATTACAACAACATAACGAATTAGAAAAATATAACAGTTTCGCCCACCTTTACGCATAGGTGCCTGCTTGTTGGTGTTCACAATAGTCGTGCATCTAATCGACTCGAGCGCGTTGTTACCTCTCTCCCCACCCCGCTTCCTAGTTCGCTACACATTGCTTGCTCACTCCATTCGTGTTTTATTCGTCGTGTTGGTACTAATTCCATTAGTTCACGAAAGAGCAGTCCTTTGGTATAAAACTTTAAATGACTACAAAAATAATAATCTGAAACTATTGGCCTGGCGCGAAAAATGTACCATACTAATACCTAATTTTGAAAACATGTAAGAAAAAGAAAGACAACATTTCGGTAAGTGCCAGTAAAGTTTATTAACTATTATACTACATAGTTATGTATTTACAGTTGTATTATTAATTTTTAACTCATTTATATTATGCGTATCGCGCATTAGTTTGCCAAGGCAGCGAACCAATCGGGGAAGTAAAATAGTCTGCAAAGTCCGATCGTATACATTTGCAATCGGACCACCACGAGGATTATGTACTCTCTGTTGTTGATCTTGTTCTTGTATCGATTGTTCTAGTGCAAGTTGAATATATTCAAAGTTTAGACCATCCCTTTCTATTAAATAATTATGCAATACTGCACAGGCTTTCACAAAATATCGATAGCTGTGTCTGGGTGGACATCCAATGGTCGATGCAGTATTCTCCATTTATTAGCTGAAATTCCAAAAGCACACTCAACAAATCTTCTTGCACGGCATAATCGATAATTAAATATTCTTTTCGTATCATCCAAATGATTGCCTCCGAAAGGTCTCATTAAAATTGTCGTCAGGGGGAAAGCTTCATCGCCAACTAGTACATAGGGCATATCCTTTTCGATTGTTTTATGAAGAGGCCTTGGCTTTGGTATGTTTAAACTACCATCATTCAGTTTCTTCCAAAAAGGTAGTCTCCTTGAATATGGAAGAATCGCATTCTTTCCCATATGAACCAACACTTATATAAATGAAACGGTATTCTGCATCAACAATAGCTAGTAAAACAAATGAAAAATAACCTTTGTAATTGAAATACATCGAGCCGCTTTGATTTGGTTTCACTACTCTAATATGCTTGCCGTCGACGGTTCCAATACAGTGTGGGAAGTTAGCTTTAATATCAAAACCATTTGCGATGTTTTCCCATTTATTTTCATTGTCGAGCAACTTCATAAACTCTTTTTTTAATGTATCCCAGATAATGCAACTCATTTCTTTGATAATTTTACTAACAGTTGATACCCCGACTCTGAAATTGTAGTGCAGGTCTTTGAAGGAACATCCTGACGCACAATATCTGAAAATAATGTTGCAATATAATTTCAGGTAAATTAGTATTGACCAAGTGGATGAACTTACGGAATGTCTGGATCCGAACAAACAAAAATGATGAAAAAAAAATCAGGATCAGGGGCAAAGTCGTCAAAGCCATATGTATATAAAGAGCAAATGGATTTTTTGCGTAAAGTTGCTAGACCTAATCCTCCTCAAGAGTCTGTTGCGTCGCGTATATCTCAACCAGGGACAGAAGGCAGTACTCAGTTGTCTGAAAATTCGCAACCAAGCACTTCTAAAAGACAAAAGACCATGCCAACACAGCAACATATAATGGACTTAGATGTCAAAATGAGCGAGTTTTTAGACAGCAGGCTATCACAACAAACTGATCCCCCAATTTTATCATTTTTAAAAGTATCCTACCCTCTGTTACGTCTTTCGACGATGACGAAACGTTGGAGCTTCAATCAGGTGTATTATCACTGATACAACAAATCAAAAAGAAACGCGTGTGATAGCACACGGCGATCGGGGTATTCGACACAGAACTATAATTATTTATCTACCGATGAATCCGGATACTCTTCTCAAAACCAGGCTGTTCTTACACCACATGGGTCTGGATATGAAAGACATCAAACGTATGAGGAAGGATCGCCTGCTGCATCTACTTGGTCGGAAAGTACTGAATTAAATTTCTCCGATTTTTGAATTATTGTAATATGTTGCGCTGTTTACCTACTTAAAATAAACAAGTTAAAATAACTTTTGTTTCAATTTCAATACACCTAAGAAATCACACTACAACTGCTACAATCAGACTACTACACTACAAATACAATCTGAATATTTGTAGCAGTTGTAGTGTGGTTCTAAAAAAACACTTACCTAAGAAATTTCGACAGTCTTTCTTCAGGACAAATGCAGTCTCTAAATGTAGTATTCCGATACGTGATGCTCGCAGAAACTCTTGACAGTAGGTCGTTGAAAGTTGCTTGTGACATTCTAAAATAATTAAAGAATTTTCGTTCGTCATTTTTTAATTCATGTATTAAATTTTTATAACTTCCTAAAGTCGATCTTTCTGTTAGGATTGGGTGCATCCAGTATTTTCTTGGACTATTTTCTTGACTTTTTTTCAACTTTTTTAATTTTCTTCGTAAGTAGTAGAGCACAACAAGTTCTTCGTCGCCGTCCATCTCGTGAGTTCGCTACGTACCGAATGGCGCGAAACTACGACCTATACGACTCGCGACGCAGTGTGAACAGGTACATCAGATTTTCGACTTTTAGTCATATGCGACTTGCGACTAGTGTGAACCGGCTGTAACGATTCGTTGGCACGTGTGCCAGACGTGTTAGCGAATCGCTAATGTTACTCTAGTGTGGTTCTTCATAAATTATGACGTTCAAAAAAAATTCAAAGACGACGAATGGATCATGAGCTGTGGATGATCCCGAATACCGAATAATGGGACAGATATAACATAATTATTATTATCATGGATGTATTACTGGCCAGTTTGTCGTCTACATGCACCAAGGTGCTATGCAGGTATCGGGCCTCGAGGTATACCCCATTGCTCGGACATTCATCATGGCCCAAAACTATGGGCCAGTCTTTGGAGCCTATTCTAGGCGTAGATGGTTAATACGGATTAGTCCGTAGTCAAATAAGATTTTTCCCGTAGTCGGTTAACTACGGGAAAAAAGGAGGTTATCCAGTTAAAAATTCTAAGTTGGCCTTTCAGCGGCATTGAGGGTTGTTACTCGACTCTCTAATCGATATAGAGAGGAGTTCTCTTGGAAGAGGTCGCCCGTCCGGGGGCCGAGTGTGCAACGGCGCAAAGCCGTTGAGATGGTCGTGTGGCCCGTTGTCGGCGCGGTCGAACATGCCGCGCGCTAGCTGGGCCACGAAGTCGGTGATGGTCTCGACTTTCAGATCAGCCGCTATGACATCGTTCCGGACGTAGCGACCTGCTCCGACGATCGTCCTTATTGACAGATTCTGCTGAGCCTGCAGTTGCCGCCTCAGAGGGTCGCTCAGAAGCGCGTACCAGGCCGGAGCAGCGTAGGTGGTGATGGTCCGGATATACATCTTGTATATCCGGAGCTTGGTCTTTATCGACAGCTTGGATGCCAGGACCGCACGGAGCATCGTTCGCGCACATTTGGCTTTGCGGACGACGAAGTCGACGTGCGCAGTCATGCGCGGACTCTATTGGGCAGCTGTCGGAGTGCAGTGTTGGTAATCCCGTCGTGCCCAGGCGTCTTCCTCGGTTGCAGGCGGGTAACTGTCCTCCGCAGTTCAGCGGGGGAGATGAATCACTCTCCTGCAAGAGGCGGCGCGGGCGACGACAGGAATGAAGCTCCATGAACTCCGCACTTGCTGGGTTCGGCATAAATTGCTCCTCGAAGTGCTCTCCTAGGATATCCGCTCAGCCCTTGGCATCATAGCAGCGTTCACCCGCGCTGTTGGTCAGCGGGCAAAAGGGAGGTCTGGCTTTGGTCAACTGCCGGTTCAGTTTATAGAGCGACGCATCATGCTCATCCGCCTTCCATATGCGCCGCTCCCAGGCCTCTCCTCTGTAGGCCTGGACTGCAACCGACAGTTCTTCCGGTAAGGTGTTGAGTTGCGTCTTTAGTCTAGGGCAGCGAGTACGCGTATGTGTACCAGAGCTTCCTCAGCGCTCTTTTGCGCCTGATCTGCAATCATGTCTCTCGCGGCAGATCGTCTCACCTTTCTGTAATCGGGACGATCATAGAGGCCGCGTGGAGGGCCTCCTGGATGTTTTTGGTAATTATAGTAGCAGCGGCCTCTAAGTCGTCCGCTGTACTTATGGGTTGGTGGACTGGAGGTCTCGCCTGCAGATGTTGTGAGTAGAGCCTCCAGTCGATGCGTGTCTTGAATGCTCTGGGCGGCGTAGTCACCGCCTTTGTGCCAAGGGTGATCAGAATCGGGACATGCTGTGAGCTCAGGTCGTATAGCACCTCTACCACTACTGGGTAGTTGACGTTCCTAGAGAGCACGATGTCCAATACATCCGGATACTTCCGCGGATCTGTCAGAACGTGAGTTGGTTCTTCAGGACCTAAAACGTCGTAATTGTTGTTCTCTGCGTCTTCATAAAGTGCATGACTCGGCGGGGTGATCACTCTGGACCCCCACGCCGGGTGTTTGGCGTTTAGGTCCCCGGCGATGATGGTGGGTATTTCGCCTTCCATTATCGTCCGGATGTCTGTGGAGCAGAATGGAGTCCCTGGCGGGCGGTACGCTGCGTAGATCCTTAGTTCCTCGCCCGCCGCCTCCATTTTTATGCCGATAGAGTGCATTGACTGGTATGTTGGTAAATCCAGCTCTTGATAGACGATGTCCCTCCTCACTAGAACTGCCGTCCCTCTATAGGCGGCCCCTTGAGGAGTGAGCTCGTCCCTTCTGTACAGGTGGTAATTCGGCAGCTAAATATGCGTCTTAGGATTTAACTTCGTCTCTCCCAGCAATATGATGTGCAAGTCCTGTTGTTGGGCGACTGTGCGGAGTTCATGCAGCTTCTGCTCTATTCCAATAGAGGAGGCGCAGATTACTCTCCTCCGTAATGCCGGGCCAGGAAGTTAGCCAGCGCCTTCATTATCGCCGTCACTGGATCGGTCCCGGCTCTGATGTCAGCCAGGACTTGTGTGCCGACCTCGATGGCAATACCAACCAGACGTTGGATTGCATCTGCTGTTTCAAGGCCGGCAGTAGGTGGTCTCCTATGTGAAGGCGTTAGCACTGGTCTCAAGTGTTGATGATCCTGCTCTCTTGGCTTATGGGTAGAGCGCGCTCTACATGTAGAGCGGGCTCTATGTTCAGGTAGAGAGAGCCCTTTCTGGCACTCTACCCACGCTCTTTTTGGTATTCTCCTGAGTAATCTGCGCCTGTGAGGCTACTGGTCCAGTTGGTGTCTGGGTAGAGGTAACAGCCTGAGGAGGCTACGACTTCTTCCTGCTCCTCTCTCGCCTCCTCTTTTTGGAGGGTTCCCGTTCTGTGGTGGGGTTGGCGGGGGGCTGTAGAGTTGCCCCGGTGGTTGCCCTTGTCTCTGCGGGTTCCACCGTTTCCATAGGTGTTACGGGTGGCGGGGGGGGGCTGGTTGCCTACCCTTCCCTGTGATGGAAGCCCACCCGTCTTTTTGGATGGTTACAGCTTTTGGGCGACTCTAGGGGAACTTTTTCGGGGTCTTCTGGGAGTAGCCCCGGAAAAGTTATCCCCTGCCTCCTAGCAGTCCTCCTCAGGACTGGGCAGCGGCGGTCATTTGCCGTGTGGTTTTTGCCACAGTTGGCGCATTTCGGTTCCTCCTCTCTACCCCGAGGGCAAAGGCTCGCTATATGGTCCCCGGCACAGCACACGCACCTCAATGGCCTGAAGCAGTTGTCGGAGGCGTGCCCGAAGGCCTGGCAGCGGTGGCATTGAGCCATGTAGAGGAGTTCGTCTACTTTGTAAAGGTTTTGGAGCTGCTCCAGGCTCAGGTGGTCAAATTGGGCGAAGTAGATGCAGCCAGGTCTGCCCCTACGAGGTGGGATTTCCTTCACATATTTAACGGGGAAGCCCTTTGCCCTTATAGTTTCCTCTATGGTTTTGGTATCCGTGCCCATTGGTAGACCCCGGATGCCCACTTTAGTGGGCTTGTCCTCCTCCGGGGTGTAACAATACCACGACAGTGTTGGTGTTTCCTTTGATAGTTCAACCATATACCGCTGGACGGTTCTGAACTCATTGGCACTTTGAGGTGTAAACCGTACGCCTTTCCCGAACGGACGGGCATTTAAAGGGTGGCCCAACATTCTGTTGCGCTCCTTAAAATGCCTCGTCCAATCCGGGAGGCATTCAGCCACTATGGGCGGATATCTAGTTTTGTCCTGGTCGGCAGGCTTATCAGCAGGCACTGCCGCCGGTTGTGGTCGTGGTACTGCTGGTGCGGCTACCATATGGGCATAGCTGGTAGATGGCCGTTGGCCATAATCCTGCGGGAGCCCAGACGGGTTGGTTGTTGCCACCGGCGATGATCGGCCGGCGGATGCTGCGAGGGTCGCATAGGTGGTTGACCCCCAGCTATAGGATTCTTCACCCCCCTGCTCATACTGGGCCGAATCATGGCTTCGACGATCCGGAGATATGGAGCGGAGGGGGGGGGGTTGAGGTGGTGAGGGTGACTTTAGTGGCGATCTATGCACCTTCTTCGTCGACACCTGGTGGTAATCTTCATCTTCCGATATAGATGGTGGTTCATCGGAAGATAGCTGGGAGCCAATCCGTTGCCTCTTTTCGTGTAAGGAGGCTTCGGTTTCTGGAGGCGTGTGACGTCTGGCCGTTTTCTTTGCCCGCAGCTGCTGGGGCGACGGTTCCTGCCTGACCGTGTGCTCAGATACGGTCGGCGTGAGCGCGACGCCTGATGCGGGCTCCTTCTGCGGTGAGACGGGTTTCCTCATGGGTATCTGGGAGAATGATG